ATGGAAATGTATTTGAAGTAAAGTAAGGCAAGAAGTTTGTAGTTAAGATAGAAATCGGAGCGCAAACTGAAATATGATGTTCGTATGATAAAACTGATTTCCGACGTAAAACCGTTTTCGGAAACTTAACTTGAAAGTGAGTTCGTAAAAGAGCAGAAGATAGTAAGCTATTGAGGAGGTTTGCAGTAAAGATAAAATGCTCAAAGTAAATGTAAACCGAGATTTAGAGTGGTTCGGTCAATCTTGACCTACATCCACTTTTGGCTTCCTCCACCAACGAGATCACCGACGTCCACTAGAGGCCTTCCTTCAATAGGCGAAGGCCAACCACCCTTTTACAGTTTCACTCCTTTTGACGGGCTTAGGAGACAACCCTTACAAACTTTTCTCTCCTCTCTTGAAAGATCAAAACTTGGAAAAAGAGGGAGGAGAACTTCTAGCCTTTACAATAATTTTGAGCTCTAAAAATCATAGAGTAAGATTGGATTTTCGGTGCTTTGGGTTGCCCTTTCATTGCTAAAAGGATGGGGTATTTATAGGCCCCAAACCAGTTTGAATTCCGAGCTCAAAACTGTCATCTCCCGGAATTCCGGGGTCTGGCGGTTGCACCGCCTAGCAAAGCTCGGAGACTGAGCCTCTGGGCAGTGCCACAGCTTGTCAGGGGCTGTTGCACCGCTTGGCAGAGCTCAAAGACTGAGCCTTTGGACGGTGCCATCGCTTGACAGGGGCGGTTGCACTGCCCAGTCTCGCTCGGAGACTGAGCCCAAGCGGTGCCACCGCCTGCCTAGGGCGGTTGCACTGCCCAGCTTTCCTGGGAGACCCTCTCCTGGGCGGTGCCACCGCCTAGTAGGAATTCTAGTCCGAATGGGTTGATCCATTCAGCCCAATTTGGGTCTATCAAGGGCCCAATTGCCCCCAGATTAAGTTAATGGAATCACCTCTCATTCCTAACTTAATCTACATGCTAACTACGACAATTCTTAAGACATTTACTACAGCTTGCTCCGGTGTGTCAATCGCTTCTTCCGGCGAGCTTCCGGCGAACTTCTGGCGAACATCCGACGAACCTCCAACGATGCTCCGACGGACTTCCGGCAAACTCCTGGACTTGCGACGATCCACTTGGCGAGTTCCGACGAGCTTCTTTTGGCAAGCTCCTGGACTTCTCGGATTTATTCCCGCAGAACCTCCGACGATCGTCCGGACTTCCGTCGAGCTCTCGAACTCCCAACGTGATTATAGTCTTTGACTCCGGCTTAACTCTTGCTGCATGTCTTACTTTCATCGTAGTTAATCCTGCACACTTATCTCAATATATGGATTAGATAATAAATGACAATTGACTTCATCATCAAAATCCGAGATACAACAATCTCCCCCTTTTTTATGATGATAATCAATTGATAACGGAGTTAACCTTAACTCCCCCTATCTATATGTCATACTTGAGATAACTCATTCTTGAATTCAAGGCCTTTGAAATCAATAGACTTATTGATAAGTTAAGAACTCTTAACCTTATCAATTACTCCCATCATGATTCCTATCATGATATATCTTACTGAAAATGATGTCAAGACTTGATATCCATTCTCAAGTTTTACATTTCAAATATGAATGATTGTAGCAGTTCAACATAAGATATCAACATGTAAAATTATGATGCAAGTTCTTGATATCTTAATATGATGCAAACATGGCATAATGCAAATATGATAATCATAGTTATAATCAATTCATATATTTTCGATGATGCAAGCATAACATAATCATCGCATCAATTCATATATCTCTCCCCCTTTGTCATCAACAAAAAGGAAGACAATATAAATATTTTTTAAGCATAAGTGCGGTTTTATTCATGTGTTCATGTCATTTTCCAACAGTGAGTGATAGGATACCAATTATGCAAACATCTCAATGAAAACATGACATGGAGATAGCTTTTAATACTTCTTCCTTTTCATTTGTTATTATCTTTTTGCATGAAAGAGGAAGGCTATTTGTGATACCAGCTATTTATGAGTTTACTTTGAATGAAGTTAAAATCGATGAGATATTAAATCATATTCCATTTTTACAATGATCAAGATATGTATGTGAAACAAATCCTTACAAGTAAAAACACTACTATCTATATTTCAAAAAGGAATTTATATGCAGGAATCATTTTATCAAATCCATTTCTCAAAAAATATTTTTCACATGATAAGTGTTTGAGAGATGTTTTTGCTAATTGATTCCATATGTCAAAAATCAATGATGAGAATCAAACTCGATATACATATGCTTATTAAGTTCGGAAAAAGATAATGTATCGAGAAAATCTGATTGTTAGGATACCAATAGTTAAGAGAATCCGAAAATGAAATTAACACTTTCATGTATTCGGACAAGACTATATTATAGATTTTCAAATACAATCATGAAGACAAAACATGCTCATTGTTATGGAAATTTTTGTATCCAAAAAACATAATTTCCAACATATAATTTTAGGCATGTAATGACAATCAAGTGATTTGATCATTCAATCAATAAAGTCCAAAAAATGATTTTAACAAGTTTATACATTCGGACACATTAACATTCCTAATTCTCTTCTAATGAAATCAAATTGTTCTTCGCTTAGAGGTTTTATAAAAATATCAGCTAGTTGATGCTTAGTATCAATGAACTCTATGATTACATCATGATTAGTGACATGATCTCGTATGAAGTGGTGTTTAATATCAATATGTTTTGTTCTTGAGTGTTGAATGAGATTATTTGTTAAACATATTGCACTTGTGTTATCACATTTAATGAGAATGTTTTTAAGATGGACTTTATAATCTTCTAAGGTGTTTTTCATCCACACAACTTGTGCACAGCATGCACTAGCTGCAATATACTCAACTTCGGTTGTTGATAGTGCAACCAAGTTTTGTTTCTTAGATGACCAGGAAACAAGGGAATGTCCCAAAAATTGACATGATTCTGATGTGCTTTTTCTATCTAATCTACACCCAGCAAAATCCGTATCAGCATACGCAACTAACTCAAAATTCTCGGATTTTGGATACCATAATCCGATATTTGTGGTACCTTTAAGATATCTAAGTATTCTTTTAACCGCTTTAAAATGAGATATCTTAGGGTTCGATTGAAACCTAGCATAAAGTCCTACACTAAACATGATATCTGGTCTAGTTGTAGTGAGGTAAAGTAAACTTCCTATCATACCCCTATAAGTTTTTTGATCGAAGCTTTCTCCACTTTCATTAACTTCTAACTTAGTGGAGGTGGTCATAGGAGTGTTAATAGCTTTTAAGCTATTCATATTAAATCTTTTTAGCAAATATAAGGCATATTTAGTTTGACTAATAAAGATGTCATTGCTTAGTTGCTTAATTTGTAAGCCTAAGAAAAAGGTTAATTCTTCTATCAAACTCATTTCAAATTCGAGACTCATGGTTTCAGCAAAAGATTCACAAAGAGATTCATTCGCAGAACTGAAGATAATATCATCAACATAAATCTGAACAATGAGAAAATTATTTTCAAAATTTTTGATAAACAATGTGGTATCGACCTTGCCTTTTGTGAAATTATTTTCAATAAGAAAAATACTTAATCTATCATACCAAGCCCTTGGGGCTTGTTTTAAACCATAGAGACCTATGGTTAATTTAAATACATGATTAGGGAGGCTTTTATTTTCAAATCCGGGAGGTTGTTCAACATAAACTTTTTCAAAAATAAAGCCATTAAGAAAAGCGCTTTTAACATCCATTTGAAACGACTTAAAATTATTATTACTAGCATAGGCAAGGAGCATCCTTATGGCTTCTAATCTAGCTACAGGAGCGAAGGTTTCTTCGTAATGGATACCTTCTTCTTGGTTGAAACCTTTGGCCACTAATCTAGCCTTGTTTCTA